TGTATATAAAAATGTTTCTGTTGTCTTTTGAAAAAAAATGTTACTTTCTCTCCGAAATCTTGTAGTTTGAGAGTTTTCGGGTCCACTATTTACCATGAATTATTTATACTTGACTTCAAAAATTCTTACCTTCCAACCCGGATACACTTCGATAACCCAGGTGCAGTCTAAAGGCACGTCCCATTTTAAGGAATAATTGAACATGCTTTCTGTTATGTCGTTGTTACTAATGAGTCCATCGGATCCTCCTTTGTAGAAAATACATTCTACGAACGAAAGAAAGAAAAAAATTAACATTATTTTTTAAAAGTAAGTATCTTAATACGTATTTCACTGAACTGAAGACATTTTTAAACGATTCTCTTATGGATATTTAAACCTTACTGTTTTTATCTAGGCCTAGTTTCTATGAGCTTAAGATGCGTATTACTTTTAGTTTTACTGTCAAACAAACAATTACGTCTTAGATTTAAAACTGAAACCTTAGTAAGATTGAGTTACGAACTAATTTTCTAGAAGATTTGATAAAGGCTGTAATTATAGAATGGAAAATGAAGAGAATTTATGTATGATAGAAGTTTGACAGTACCGAAGAAACGAAGGTTTTTACTAAAGTTCATAAAAGTAAAACTCGAAAACAAAGCGGTTTCTGTCTAACAACATTATAATTTATAACATAGAGCTGGAATTAAGACGTTTTTAACACCAAACACACCTAGAAGGTTGAACCTTTTATAACCTTAGGATAATAATTGTTTTTCTTTATGTTGTCACAGTTAAAATTGGTAACGAACAACTAACTTACCTTCTGTGGGAGGTCGAACAAAATCTGCAACAGAAAGCCATTACAAGGTAAGTCGAATCAAATAATATATCCACATTCGTCATAGTACAATAATACAGTTAATTCCACAAATTACATTTAAACAAAGTTTAAAATAATATTAAGACTAAAGATGATAGAATTCAATCAAAAAGAAGGTTTATAGAACTGCTATTCTAAAGGTTCATTACGTACTAGAAAAACATGTAGCGTTGGTAAGCCTCGTCAGCTTTTATGTAGAACGTTTGATTCAAATTATTTCTTTTCTTGGGGTTATGTTACATAGTCCGCCTGAGTGAAATTTTTTTCATTAATAATTATATTACAAATGTTTATAGATAAAGATAAGTAAAAGTTATGTAACATTTGTTGTCTTGTACTTGAAGACCTTTTGGTTCACACTTATTCGCTGTTTTCCTAGACAATAAAAGGCTTATATTTTTTCGTTAGTTGCTTTTGGATGAACCCCAGATTTTAGCACCGTGAACTTACCGATGACCGACCGGGGGACATTATTGGTTAGAAATTTAAAAAATGAGCAAATATAAATAATTAAATAGTTACATAAAAATGACATCGCCGAAATAGCTTTGAAATGTAGTCATATTAAAAATGTCTGACTTATTAATTAACTGAATAATTAAACATTAGATTAGAATGTAGATAATTATCGCTCTTGTGAAACATCTTGTATTAAATCTTACAAGTCATGTCACATAAGTTGCATTTATTTGTTATAATTTTTTTTATCACATTTAAGCGTAGTTTTAAGGGAGAAAACCAGCGATTTGAACACTCCTCACGTAATTGTTTCTGGTTTGACTTAACGACAACATGTACCTTTAATGGAAACAAACTTGTACACGGCTCTGAAACCCAAATACTCTATGCTATCGTCTGATGAAAACTTCAACCACAAGTGGCGGTCACTCGAACGGAGCAATGGTGGAAAGCTTGCTCCACAGAATCGTCCGATGAGGTCAGAATACCCGTAGGGGCCGTCTCTAATTTCTAGAAAGTCGTATTGACACTTGTTGGCCTCTTCTAAGTGGAAAGTGTCTCGGAAGTCTAACTCTATACAATAGCCGTATGGAGCTAGTACAAAATAGACAAACAACTCGGGTAATATCTCCAAACACACACTCTAGTCTTACGAAACACAATAAAACCAAATTAAGTTAACTCTTATTGCAACGAACAAAGGTACTTAATTTAGAACTGGCCAATGAAACAAATAATCCCTCGAATAAGAGAAACGTTGGTATTATTTCTCAAAATCAAATTACTAAAATAACATAAAAGTACGCTCGAATATCTATAATGTTACAAAAGTCGAAATGTCAAAGGAAAAACTTTCCGACACTCAAAAGGTAAATACGTGCGAGTTTGAAAACCGTCGTTACCTTCTCGCGAACATATCAAACTTATGTTGTTATTTGCTTGCAATTAATGTAATTGTGAAATATGTTACAAGCAAAGCAACAGATCATAAGTGGCACCACTGTATGTTAGCAGAGATGTAAATCTGCAATAGTATCACAGAATACAAGAATAACATAGTGATACAATTAATCAAAAGGTGAAGGTTTTTTTATTACGCTACCGTAACTAACCTAATTAAATTTGACAGTAAGTACTCGGTACAACTCTGAAGAATAAGTCAATGTAATGTATACAATAGGGTTTCCCAAAGTGGTGGAATCGACACCCTGCGGTCGATGAGACTGTATAAGGGTTGAATAAAGACCTAAGGGTCGAAAATGGCCCCTAGGATAAGGTTGGCCTAAGAAACTAACCGCCCTACGTCTAGTAGCAAAAGCGAAAATTAAAACCTCATTGTTATTTACATTTTATGTTTCCTAACGATTGTATTATGATGAATATAAGTTTCATTTATAGTTTATATTCTTAGAATGTTGATGACAACTTTATAACTTCTTTAAGGGGTCGACAACTCAAAAGGGGTATGGGAAACCCTGATAAAGAATTTCTAAAACTTTTAATCACGTTAGTCAGTTCTTCACTCGCACAAGGGGATTCACTAATATTCTGAAATATGAGATCAAAGTTGTGTTCGAAAAGAAAGACATTGAATAAGTTGTTTTCCTAAACATCAGTGGTGCCACCTACACATGCTCTCAAGAAAAATATTGTATTATAAAATATATAGTTTACTGTTTATATGTATTGTTTAATTCATACTTTCACATACTGCGCTGTTTACAACTATTGACCCTTCATTAAAGAACAGTTACGTTCACCGTTTGTTGTTATGCTATCTAAAACTACTGAGCTTGCAAGGGATAGATACTTTTTTATGAAATGTACGGTTCATAACAGTTAATATCGTGGCAGACAATTACATTCAATGTTTATTTAATAGATAATGTACAGTTTGTGTTTATTGCTTCAGAGAATAAAATTACCTTCAATTATTGTGTTATTACAACTATTACTTTTCTCTATGACAGTTACCTTCAACCTTTACTCCTATCCAATGTACACTTTACAACTATTACTTTTCTCTATGACAGTTACCTTCAACCTTTACTCCTATCCAATGTACACTTTACAACTATTACTTTTCTCTATGACAGTTACCTTCAACCTTTACTCCTATCCAATGTACAATTTACAACTATTACTTTTCTCTATGACAGTTACCTTCAACCTTTACTCCTATCCAATGTACAATTTACAAAAGGTAACTGTCATAGAGAAAAGTAATAGATAGGAATAACGGTTGCTAATGTACAGTTTACATCTATTAAGTTTCTGTATATTTCATTGCTATTTTTATATAATATACAGTGATTTATACTTGCAACACTTCCCTGTGTGCAATACACTGGTCACACCTAGTGGTGGTAAGTGTGACAGTCTTATTCAACAATTAGTTTATATAATGTACGGTTATTGTGTGTTACTACTAAGAAAACAGTTAACTCGATGTTTTCTTGCTTGTAACATTGATTTCTTATCTCTTTCATTCACCCAGATTCTATTGATTTAAGTTAATTCTCCGTATTTGTATTTCAAACTGCACCTGTTATTTCCTTGATACAGACAGTGTTATTTGGATATTTTCGTGGATAATTCGGCGAAAAAAACTCTTTCATCTCTGAGTCACCAACGGTAAAGTTGAAGCATGCTTTAGCTTGATCGGTCTCGTTCATTTGAACTGCTCGGAACCCCAAGACGTCTTTGGCTAGAAAAACAACAAATCCAACTCTATAATTTCATCTTGATCAATAACGGGGGGAATGACAGACAGTCATCTACACACAATAGTAACATCTATGTACGTTTTAATTTTAGAGCCAGCTGCTTAACTGCTTTTATAACATTAATAACATCCGTTTAAATACGTGTATAACGAAAATCTTATTTAATTCATTTATTTTATTTCGTAAACATTATGGTTTGGTTTGTTTTGAATATCGCGCAAAGCTACACGATAGCTATCTGCGCTAGCCGTCCATAATTTAGCAGTGAAAAACTAGAGAGAAGGTCATCACCACCCACCGTCAACTCTTGGACTAATGTTTTACCAGTGAATAGTGGGATTGCTCATCACATTATAACGCTCTCACGGCTGAAAGGGCGAGCATGTTTGGTGGGACTGTGATTCGAACCTTCAAACCGCCAATTGCGAGTCGTGTGCCCTAACCACCTGAGTATATATTATGATATGAAACCTATTCTTTTGAACTTAAGGAGTTTTCATGGTATTTTTAGTTATCCATTAGAATTATAGTAGATACCATAAAGAAGCACTTCAAACCTCTCTTAAAATAAACCTTAAGACTAAATATAGGATTACATCAATTATTAATCTCATTGCATCATCGTCTCTTAAGACTGGAAGATTTCATAGTTCGTGTTGTATTGTTGTTATTTTCGTTCAGCGAGGTTCATCAACCTTCCACAGTACAGACACAGAGCACTTTTATATTTTATTATTTTTAATTCAATTTCTTATTTATCATTTTATCATAGTGATTATTCTGCGTTCTTAGTTTATTATATGGATTTAGAACTAAACTAAGACACGCGGACTGACCGAATCTCTTCAGATATTAGCGAGGATTTGTTTGTTGAATTTCGCGCAAAGGTACACGATGGCTACCGACACTAGCTGTCCCTAATTTAGAGGTAATAGACTAGAGCATTGGTTCCCAAGCAGGGGTGTTGGCACCCCCCTGGAGTGTGAAATGAGGGTCCAGGGGTGCACGGAAAAGGCCTATACAAGGTCCGTTTTCCCCCAAATGTCGCCAAGAGGAAATATCTTATGCACGCTTTTTAAGGGAGGGGTGCGAGGGCCACAAAAGGTTGGGAACCACTGAACTAGAGGGAAGGCAGCTACTCAACCCCACCCACCGCCAACTCTCGGGCTGCAGAGGCGAGTATTGTAAGTCGAGCCACCAGGTATTATAATCATTAAAAGTAATATTATATTTAATTAACTAATTAAATTAATTAACACCTTTAGTCCTAAACAGTTAGGTAACTTTCTTTGATCAAAAGTTGATATCAATGTTTCTTACTGTTTATTGATTTCTTTCGAAACATCAGTAAGACTATAAGATATCGTTGAAATTGATGACTCTTGTGGTATTGATTATTGGGATTATTTCGAAATATCGTCAATAAGATTGGAAGGTTTTTATTCGAAAAATTATCGGTTCTTCTTGGGATTGATATAAACCATACACATAAAATACTGATATAGAACCTTTATAAAAAGTACGGTTTAAATACGTAATCATACTAAGTTCTATAATACCTTACGATATTTTAGCATCGTATAGTAACTTATAAAAGTATAAATAAATGTTGTGAACGAGTTCATTAGAATATTCTTCCGTTAATGTCTGGAAGTTTCCCAGTTTGTCCCTGAAGAAGAAAGGCCAACCTTTCAAAAGCGCACTTTCGGGTTATAGATTATTGTTTTTTTTGTCTTAAAGTTAAGATATTAATAATTTAAATTTGCCTTATAATAATAAGTTTAGCCAATAAAATATCTGATATAATGCTTTGAAATGCTTGTATGTTTTTTTTTTTTTTTTTAGTTTTCAAAAGTTAAAAATAACAATTATTGCTTTATATTTATTTTAATATCGACGTTTGTTTAAATTAAATTAATATTTAGAAATGTACATAACTTATACTCTTAAATATGTATTGCGAAACTCCCACCTATTCTCTAAAGTTGTAGAAGATTCTCGAGTGTAAGAAGCAACAATATATGTGTGTACGGAAACGCTAGTCTTAGCGTCAGTATTGTTACGTAAAACTGAAATTTCGAGAAACTCTCCACACTGTGATTGTTATAACGCTTATTAGTTGGGACACGTCAGATATTTGACCAGGAACATTTATAAATTTTGAACATTACAACCCATTTAACTTCAGTGGATTCACATCGGACATTAGTAGTTTTACGAAAACATTACCTAACTTCATCGTGGAAAAATATCGGCGAGAAACACAGAACTAGCTAGTTCCCTATTAACTGAATTGTACCTACGTCAACTCGAAATTAACTCACTCATCATGAACCCTCGATAAGATATCAAAGAAGTTCCAAACTAGATAGAAGACTTTATATTGCTTGTAAGTTTGTAAAACTTTTGCATATAAATCATTGTTTGTAATAACTATTTATAATAACTGTTATTGCAAATTGTATTGTTGTTTATATATTAAAATATATTAGTATTAAAAACGAAAACTGTATGTATCAATCTTGTTGGCAGATACCATAAAAGGAATACGTATTTAACTTCTAAATCTAAATTACACTTTAATTCAATTTCAGTCTATTTGAAATTGTAATACGTCGCGTAATAAGTCATATAGAAACGTGAGTGAAAGAAATTCTCTATAATAGGCCTAGTTTACTTTGTGATAGCTAATAATGCTCACAACCGTAGTTTTCAGCCGTATAGATATGGATTTCTTATCAAATGCGTTTCATATTACAACGTTAAAATTGGCTTCGGTAATAAACAAAACTTGTTTGTTACTAAGGCAACACACGTCGGTTAGTATTTGAAACAGCACACTAACTGTTGTTGGACTAGCAAAAATTTCGACAGACAATAACCGTTACCCTTGGAGACGCATTGAACATTTTTGGCATATATTTAACTACTAAATTTAAATTATCATATTGCTCGGTTTCAGACCACTCGAAATTCTAATACGTAACATATTGTATAAAGACGGAATACAACAATTTAACTCCATGAAACAAAATATGTAATACCTAAATACACCTTTCTTAAATCTCTGTAAAAGTTTGAAAGAGATCAGTTGATATCTTTAGGAATATGTTTGGGTTATCTGTGCCGTGCTTACCACGGGTATAGAACCCAGAGTTATAGCGTAATAAGCAATCAGACTTATCGCTGAGGTCCTCTGATGTGACAGCGGTAATTTTACGGACTTACGACGTTAAAATCCGGGGTTCGATTCTCCACGATTAACACAACAGATAGTCCAATGTGGCTTTGCTCTAAAACAGACTTACTTATCGCTGAACCATCTTTAGGAATAAATAAGTCACATGGTTGTCACCGCCATCTAGCAAAATGTGTTTGGAGTAGTGTTATAATGGTGATTATGCCCACTGATCCTATCTGATAGCAGCAGTGAAAAATTAGTCTAGCCTACAGCTAAAAAGATAAATACAGTTTTCTCAGCTTTGTGGGCAGCTTCTCTAAGAATGACAAACCACTCTCCGTGATGGTCAAAGCTAACCAGCATGCCAGTAGACTGAGGACTCTTAAAAGTCATTCAGATCTTTAAAATGTGCTTTAAATAATGCATCAGTGTTTTTCTATCCAAGATATGACTTTGCATTTACAGTGGATAAGGTTGTTGTTGTTGTTTGTTATCACGCACAAAGCTACACAAAAGGCTATATATGTTCTGCCCACCACGGGTATCGAAACCTAGTTTCTAGCGGTATAAGTTCACAGACATACTGCTGTGCCACTTGGCGGCCACTGGATAAGGATTCCAGTAGTAGCGGAATCCTAGTAGCGCACTTACAAGCCAAAGACGATGTGAAATATGCACGTGAGGTGTACACTGACTTCTTTCTTTGTTTGTTGTTAACCACAAAGCTACACTACTGGCTATCTGTGGTGTGCCGACCACGAGAATCAAAACCTTGTTTTTTTTAGCGTCATAAGCCTTCAGACTTCCGGCTGAGTTCCCTGAGTGTATTGCGAAACTCCCGCCTATTCTCTAAAGTTGCAGAAGATTCTCGAGTGTAAGAATCAACAATATATGTGTGTACGCAAACGCTAGTGTTAGCGTCAGTATTGTTATGTAAAACTGAAATTTCGAGAAACTCTCCACACGCCTATAAATATAAACAGTATCTATTGTTGGGTTGCTGTAATTGGTGTGCTATAAACTTCGTAAGCTATAACTGTGATTAACACGTATTAATCGGGAACTTTAGATATATTTGACCAGGAACGGTTATAAATTTCTAATATTACAAACTATTTAACTTCAGTTGATTCACATCGGACATTAGTACTTTTACGAAAACATTACCTAACGTCACCGGTGGACAACTCGGTGAAGAACACAGA